ACTACTGAAGAAAGAAATCGTACATGTGTTACTGCTCAGGAGACTTCTCTCTTGCAGCTACTGAAACAACAGTAAAACCACACAGAGCAGAAAACAGCTGCTAGTGAAATTGCATTAACAGTAGGAGTTTAAGCTGCAGGGTCGCTAGAGCAACCAGAAATACCGCTTGTTTTCCACATGTGTTGTGTTTCACTCATGAGCTCTTTCTCCATCACGCAGGGTTGTCAGATTCACGGTTTTCCCAAAAATTCCAGTTAGTCTGAAAGTGCAGTGCGAATGGGAATTACACAGCCGAGGGTGTGTTTTCTGCCTGGACAACTTTTTAAAGTATTAGCAGTCGCAGAAAAAGGTTTGAAAATGAAAAGAGTTGTTTTATAAATGTATATTGATCCTAGTTCTGAATAGCTGGCAACCTGTTCTGTTTCTGAAAGTAGCGGAGCAGCAAGAAACCAAACACAGTGACCACAGCAACAGTCCAGAACTTACAGTTACATTTAGAGCATTTGGCAGACGCTCTTATCCAGAGTGACAGTTTGACCATTTTACAGAGGTAGGCAAAGGTAGTATTAGGAGTCTTGCCCAAGGACTCTCATGAGGTGTTACCCACTACCCTATACCAACCAGAGTTCACAATTGCGTCTGCACCCTTTCAGATTTTTTGATGTACATGACAAGGTCTGTGACACCCTAGCAGACACAACTTTAGTCTCTTTTATGTCAATTTTTGTCGAGCGACGCTTTTCGCCTGGACTATAAATTGGCCTTTAGTGAACACCTGGCAGGTTAAAGTTTTCAAAAGTTTGATTTATTTCCAGTCAAACTGTAGATATTTAGGAAGCAACAAACAGGAATGAACAGTTCACTGCCAGATCAGTCTGCTGCTGTAGAATCTGGCGATATGGAATTCCAGGTTAAATGCCCGATTCAGAAATCTCCAGGAAGACGCTGCAGGTCTTGGTTCTGACAATAAAAATTAAATACTTTCTATAGATTGGCTCAGTAGAAAACCATGAACTGCTTCTCCTGCTTCCATGAAAACTACACAACTCATATGAGATCTTAATTAGCAAAAACGACAAATTTGCATGTGAATGTGATTCTGCTGGTATTCAAGCTGTTTTTATAATGTACCTGTAATCTGATTACTGTCTGTGTTCTGTAATACGCTTGCATTTTTTGGTATCCTGATGTAATGCCATTACATGTGATCTATTATTACCCACCCCTGCGTAGAGCGTGATTTGTACCCAGCATTAAAGTTAAAGTCTTAAAACAATAAAAAGGATATGCTGACTCTGTAACTTTTTGATGGGTTTTTAATCGAATGTGTTTAAATACAGATATTTAGAACTTTGAGACTCTCATTTTGTACTCATAATTTGAGTTAAATAATTAGTACTGCTACCAAAATTAATGACTACTATTGATAATGGAATTATTATTATGATAAATAACATTGTTGTTGCAATTAATTATATTATTATTTTAATTACTAGTAGAGATAGTAAAGGTAGTCAGTTGTCAGTTCAGTTGTTCCACAGTTAGAAGAAAGACCTTCAAAATCTTTCTTCTCCTCTTCCTCAGCTCTAGTTCTTGGCCATCCTGATAACTGCTGTTTCAACTTCGCCACTTTCAAAATTCCAGTTGAAGAAATACAAGAAGTTATAAAAACACATCCCAACTGCCCAAAGCAGGGCTATGTGTGAGTATCTGCCTTTAGAAGACGTAGATCATCACTGTCGGAATACAAACTTTAATGGAACATCTAATGAGATTCTTTAGATTGATTTTAGAACATTTCTGTTGGTCCATTCATCTTGAACTTGTCAACTGACACAATACAGAAGACAGCTACTGTCTCTAAATAAAAAGAACAAACTGAAGATACAAGGTTTTGTTATGATACAAATGATATTTGATGTACTGTCACATAAACACATTTGTTTCTATATTAAATCTGATTTGCATCTTTCAGGGTTATTGCGAAAAAAGGCAAGTTCTGCAAGGAGGAAGTAATCCTGGAGAAAATCAGTGCTACAGCTTCAACAGAACCCTGACGCAGCACACAGAGCAGCTAAAAGCTTTACACACCCCTTTAATCATCACAGGATTTATCAATCAGAGCTCTGCTTTTTCAATATTATCAGTGATTGTTTAACTCTGTGAGAATAAAACAATGTATGACAAAAATCTCTACAGAGAAAAACAACATCATAAAGACAAATTAGATTTCAGTGCTTTTCCATACAATATAAAATGTGCAATAGAGCTTCTGTATAATCCAGATACAGCACAAAGTGGTTCTAAAAGCTTTACATTACTAATATATATATATATATATATATATATATATATATTATATATATATATTTTTATATATATTACTTTTGTCAATTAATGTATTACTTCTCTTTTTAATATTATTAATGGGTATTCTTTTATGCTGTGGATGAAAATAAAACAATGCATGGTATACATTTCAAGTGAATCATTTATATTGTCATAGTGTTACATGGATATTATATAAGAGAGTGATGCAGTGATAGTGATATAGTCGTGATATAGTAGAGGTTGTGTGTGCATTCACATTCAGAACCACAAAAAAGTGTGTAATAAGGAGAAAACATGAGGCATATTGTGTTTAGTATAACCATCTCATAATAATAGGTAGGTAGATGGAATAGACAATAATAATAATAATAATAATAATAATAATAATATCTTGAAAATTGCATGCAGTGTTGTTGGTTTTAAGGCTCTAGTGTTATGAAGGAGGTGAAAGGTTAGTCTTGCAAGCCTAAAACTAATCTGAGTCTGGAGTATTTTGTTGTTTAACATGACCAAGAACTGTTAATGTTGAACAACCAGCCTTAGTCTGTTGTTTATCTATTGAATTACTGTAGGATGTGAAGCCAAGAATTTCACTTTTTTGTAAATATATAGACTGTACCTCCTTCCTAAGAGGTTCATTGTCCTCACTTTGCGCAGGGCATGCAAATGATTGTAGAAGTGCATTTCTGGACTGATTACAACCAGTAAACAGAACTGCATACAGAATGGAACTGACAAAAGCCTGACAGTTGTGGGCACCTGAGTTCTGGCGACGAGCCACTGTCCACAAGTGAGCTCCTTGGATGCATTAGCCTTGGATGTGCTACAGAGACTGTTGTTGAAAGAGACAGATGAGGATCATAAAACGGATTTCCATTTACTTTTCTGATGGTGAAGAAAACCTGCTTTTCGCCACCGCAGCGCTACGGCCTCTACAGAGAAAAGTAACATCATAAAGACATATTAGATTTCAGTGCTGCAGCTTCTATACAGTATAAAGTATACAATACAGCTTCTATACAGTGTACAGTGTATTGCCTTTTTCAATATCAATGCTTATCTTATGCTGTTGTTTAAAATAAAGCAATGCATTGCACACATTTCAACTGAGACATTTATGTTGTGTTTGTATTACATGGATATTATATAAGAGAGTGATGCAGTGATAGTGATGTAGTAGTGATGTTGTAGAGGTTGCGTGTGCAGAACACCAAAAACAGTGTGTAATGATGAGATACGGGTGATGCATACAGTGTTTAGTATAACCATCTTGTAATAATGCATGTTTAGGTAGGCAGAATAGACAAGGATGTTGAAAACTGTCTACATATAAAAACAAGTATTGATGTTGGGGTTTGGGCTCTAGTGTTATGAAGGAGGTGAAAGGTTAGTCTTGCAAGCCAGACTTTAACCTGTTATCAGAGTCTGGAGTGTTTCATCATTTAACATGACCAAAAATTCACCAAGAATATTGACAGAAAGGCCCATTAGACTGCCCAACAAACCAACCGGACTGTTTAAGTTTGGTCTGTGGGAGGCAAATTGGCAAACGTGAGGGTTTCTTGCTTAAGAGATACTAAATGCTTCAGAGAAATATATAAATAAATATAGAGACTGTATCTCACTCTGAAGAGGTTCATTGTTGTACCTGTGTGCAGAGCATACACTTTCTTGCAAAAGTGGACTACAACCAGTAAGCATGCACACAAAGGTGTGGACATCCAATCAGAACGGAATTGAAAATCCTGATAGTTGTGGGCACCTGAGTTCTGGCTGACGAGCCACCGTCACCCGACCAGAGGGTGTTTAGCTGAGAGAGACTATTAACATTATTGTGGAGAGATTGATGGTGCACACTGAAGGGAAAGTTCTCCCAGCGGGATTCAGAAACAAGCATGAACGAAAAAAAACGTTAAAACAATTTGATAGATAACAATTGCTGTTGGTTAAATTCTTTGCCCCACCCCCCAACACCGCCACCCTGCCGCTGTCTGAACAGTGAAAAGTCACCAAATTTCTTTCATTATTTAATTATTTACTTATTTATTCTTCTATTTAATAATGAATTCATCAGCTTGCTCTTCTAATGTGTGTTTTCTGGGGAACAAGTTAACAAGTACCAGTCTCCACAGTTGTTGGACTCCTGTCTCCACTGTAGCTCTGCTGGGAATCAAACTCAATAGGACTGAACCTTCTGAACTGATTCCTCCACTGAGCAGCCCAAAATTGAGCTTTTAACATCACACCCTCATCTTCAACCCAGGACCTCCACTGCATCTTGGAATATGAGTATTGTGTTCATGCTGTATGCGTTATGTATCTATTAGCAGTGGGTGTTGCCAGCAAAACTAATTCGAAGGAGATCCACACACATCTGGATATGTAGTGTAGCACTTTTGATTTAATTTCCTGAATATAAAGGTGTATTAATAAGTTTTTGTATAATAAATAATCTGCATCACAGGTTTTCAGTAACTGTCTGATGTCTAGAGCACTGAGCTTATCAGGTACATCAGAGCTGCTATCATCATGGATCATCTTGATAATAGAGTCTCTGCTCTCTGAGAGGAAGATGTGGTGAAGGGGGAGGAAGAGGGGGCAGAGCCTTTAATAAAGGACTGAAAATGAGTTATAAAAGAGTGAGAGACTGAGCAGCTAAAACTGGAGATACAGACGGAGAGAGAAACATTCAGAGCTTCAGACGCCTGCAGAGAAGATGGAGATGAAGATGAGCTGTGTGTGTTTGGTGCTGGGGCTGGTTCTGCTGATGACCGTCTCCTCAGACGCTACCTGTGAGTTTAACACGTTTTCTAGCTTCACAGTCAGATCCAGACACAGATTAAGACATTATAATCAGGGGGTGGAAAATACTTGAGTGATTATACTTTCTTACTATACTGAAGTATTATTGAAACTCAATATTTGTCCTCTTAATTACATTTCCAAGAGAAAAACATAGTTTATACTTACATATTTTAATTTGGACTTCCAAAATAGTCGTTATACATCTCAAAGTGCAGGAGATGTTTCTCTTTTTCTTTGGCTCTTGTCCATCAGTTGTGTTCCTGCAGATTTGATTTTGTTTACTAAAACATCCAATCAAATTCATATCAATGAAGAAATTGCCCACAACTATGCTAATCAGTGTTTTGTGGAAGAAACAGTTCTGACTATGAATAACAGTAATATTAAGTAGTATTTGTAGTGATGAGGCAGATTTGCTAGTCTGGGTGATGGAGAGTGTGATTAATACCCAACATTGAAGTTGATTTAATGTTTCAGAACAATAAAAAGGATGTACTGACTTTTCTATTGGTATATTTTGATTTGTATCTAATTGAATATGTTTAAATATAAATGTATTAATTTGAGACTCTTACTTTGTACCCATAATTTCATAATAACAATTACAATAATAATAATAATAATAGTTACATTTATATAGCACCTTTCACAAACCCAATGTCAAAACAGTTTTTCCGATAGTAATACTGTAATAACAGTGACTATACTATTACTAAAAATAATAATTCATACTACTACCACCAATATCAATAATAATCAATAAAAAGAACCAAGTTATTCATTATTTTTATAATTATAACCATATTTTAACATTTTTTTGTCCTTAGTATTCATAGCAACAGAAAATGTTGGTCTAACTGTTCCCCAATTCGAAGACAGAGCTTAAAAATCTTTCTTCTCCTCTTCTTCAGCTGCTCTTGGTCATCCTGATAACTGCTGTTTCAGCTTCGTCACTTTTAAAATTCCAGACAAAGAAATACTAGAAGCTGTAAAAACACATTCCAGCTGCCCAAAGCAGGGCTATGTGTGAGTATCTGACTTTAGAAGACGTAGATCAACACTGTCAGAATAAAACCTCATATCTCCAAAATAGGAACTTTTCAGGAACAGAAAAAACATTCCTAACATTAATGTTAGTTAATGTAATGAGATTTGTCCAAGCTAATTTTAGAGCATTTCTATTGGTTCGTTCATCATGAGATTTTGGCACGATGTAAAGGACAGCTGCTGTTTACAAATCATGCTAAAAAGAGAGGTTTTCTTCGGATAGGGTTGTTTTAATATGTAGCATTAACACATTTGTTTCTATATTAAATCTGATTTGCTATTTAATATCAGTAGATGAGACTCTCTTTATGCTGTATTTCAGGTACACAACGCCGAGGGGCAGATTCTGCAAGGAGGCCCTGCAGTAAATCTAGATTTCAGAGCTGCAGCTTCAACACAGCGCAGCTAAAAGCTTTACACGCCCCTTTAATCATCACAGGATTTTATCAATCAGGGCTTTGCTTTTTCAGTATTATCAGTGCTTGTTTAACTCTGTGAAACAATGTATGACAAAATTCTCTGCAGAGAAAAATAACATCATAAAGACAATTTAGATTTCAGTGCTGCAGTAAACATGCAATGCGATAAGCAATGTGTTTCTTTTTTTCAATACTATTAATGCTTGTTTTATGCTGTGGATTCAAATAAAGCAATGCACTGCACACATTTCAAATGAATCATTTATACTGTCATAGTGTTACATGGATATTATATAAGAGAGTGATGCAGTGATAGTGATATAGTAGTGATACTGTAGAGGCTGTGTTTACATTCTAATGCAGAACCACAAAAACACTGCGTAATGATAAGGATGGTGCATAGTGTGTTTGGTATAATGATCTCATAATAAGCATGTTTACATAGACAGAATAGACAATGATTAAAAGAAAACAGTATAACAAATCCTGTCTACATATAAAAACAGTGATGTTTGATTTGGGCTCTAGTGTTATGAAGGAGGTGAATGGTTAGTCTAGCAAGCCAGACTTTAACCTGTTACCAAAGAGTCTCAAGTATTTCATCATTTAACATGATCAAAAACCCCCAATGTTGACCAACCAGCCTCAGACTGTTGAAGTTTGGTCTGTGGGAAACAAATCAGCACTCGTGAGGGTATCCTGCTTGAGAGCCACTAAATGCTTCAGAGAAAGACTCTGAATGACGTTTTGATGTGATGCACAGACCTTCACTTCTTTTTGTAAATATAAGGACTGTATCTCACTCTGAACCTACATTGTTCTCACTGTCATTGGACTGATTACAACCAGTAAACAGAAGCATGCACACAGATGTGTAGAGCCAATCAGAATGGAACTGACAAAATCCTGATAGTTGTGGGCACCTCAGTTCTGGCTGAGGAGAAACCATCACCTGACAAGTAGCTTGTGTAGCTGAGAGAGACCATCAGCATTACTGTAGAGTGACTGATGTTTGACACTGAAGGGAAAGTTCTTGAGTGCAGGACCTGATGAAGGTGAGAAGGTGAGACAGTACTGGAGCTCATCAACAGTCCATCTCATAGTGAGAGCTTCTCTATCCAGACAGAAATATGTTGTTGTATATAGAGAAGCTCTCACTGTCTAATGGACTGTTGATGAGCTCCAGTACTGACTCAGCTTCTCACCTTCATCCTAGATCATGTGTCCATTCAGTGGATGGTGAAGACGAAGAAACTTCAGGTCACCTGCACTCAAGAACTTTCACTTCAGTGTGCAACATCAATCTGGCCTCTCCACCCTCCACCATCTCTGTCTGAACAGAGAAGGATCACACACACACACACACAACACATTTTACTGCCAGTGTCTCTCTATGAAGGTTGCATGGCTGTATGCTTGATTTTATGCATCTGTTAGCAGTGGGTGTTGCCAAATACACTGATTAGGAGTATCTACACACGTTTGCCTATGTAGTGTAGCAGATCTGATTTAATTTACTGAATGTAAGTGTGTATTGATGAGTTGTTACATAATGAACAAACCGCATCACAGGTTTTCAGTAACTGTCTGATGACTCGTGCACTGAGCTTATCAGACTCATCAGAGCTGCTATTATCATGGATCATCTTCATACTAGAGCTTCTGCTCTGCACTCAGAGATGGAGATGTGGTGAAGGGGGAGGCAGAGGGGGCAGAGCCTTTAATAAAGGACTGAAAATGAGTTATAAAAGAGAAAGTGAGAGACTCAGCAGCTCAAAGCCGAGATAAAGACGGAGACAGAAACATTCAGAGCTTCAGACGCCTGCAGAGAAGATGGAGATGAAGATGAGCTGTGTGTGTTTGGTGCTGGGGCTGGTCCTGCTGATGACCGTCTCCTCAGATGCTGGCAGTGAGTTTAACACATTTTCTAGCTCTACAGTCAGATCCAGACACAGATTAGCACATTATAGTCAGGGTTGGAAAATACTTGAGTAACTGTACTTTGTTACTGTACTTAAGTATAATTTTGGATAATATATACTTCAGTATTATTGAAACTGGATACTTCTACTCTGTCTCAATTACATTTCCAAGTGATAAAACGTACACTTTACTCTTTACATTTTTTAATTCGGACTTTCAAAATAGTTGTTACCAACCTCAAAGTGCAGGAGATGCCTTTCTTTTTCTTTGTCTCTTATGAAGCAGTTGAGTTCTTAAACATTTGATTTTTTTATTGAAACATCCATTCAAATTCGTATCAGTGATGAATTTGCCCACAACTATGCTAATCAATGTTTTGTGGTAGAAACAGTTCTGACTATTAATAACAGTACTATTCTCATAGCTCAAAGCTCATGAGGCAGGTTTGCTAGTCTGTGTGATGGAGGGTGTGATTTGTACCCAGCACTTAAGTTAATATAATGTTTTAAGATTAAAAATAATGCACTGACTTTTCTACTGGTAATTTTTTTATTTGTATTTAATATGTTTAAATATAGAAATTAATTTATTTAAGACTTTTACTTTGTATTCATAATTTCAGTTAAATAGTTTCTCTGATAGTAACTTAGTAATAAGAGTGACTATACTATTACTAATAAGAATAATTAGCACTACTAACAATTACAATAATAATCAATAATATGAACAAAACTGTTAATGATGTTATTATGAACATATTTTTTAACAATTTTCATCATTAGAATTAATAGTAAAAGTAGTGTAAGTGTGCAGAACATGCAGGTCCAAGCGTTTCTTCATTAGAAGACTGAGCTTCAAAATCTTTCTTCTGCTCTTCCTCAGCTGGTGGTACCGATGGTCATCCTGATAACTGCTGTTTCAGCTTCGTCACTTTTAAAATTCCAGACGAAGAAATACTAAAAGTTGAAAGATCACATCCCGACTGCCCAAAGAAGGGCTTTGTGTGAGTATCTGCCTTTAGAAGATGTAGATCATCACTGAAGGAATAAAACCTCGTATCTCCAAAATAGGAACTTTTCCATTCATCATGAGATTTTGGCAGAATGTAAATGTCAGCTGCTGATTTTCAACTCATGTTAAAAAAACTGAAGATACAAGGTTTTGTTCTGTTAGAGACGATGTGTGGTTTATTGTCTTATTGTGTCACGTAAAAGCATTTATTTCTATATTGAATCTGAGTTGCTACTTAATATCAGTAGATGAGACTCTCTTGACTGAAAACATAATGAGGTTAACTGTGCTGTCTTTCAGGATTACAACACCGAGGAGCAGATTCTGCAAGAAGGACCTGCAGGAAATCTAGATTTCAGAGCTGCAGCTTCAACACAGCCCAGACGCAGACGCAGCACACAGAGCAGCTAAAAGCTTTACACACCCCTTTAATCATCACATGATTTATTAATCAGTGCTTTGCTTTTTCAATATTATCAGTGATTGTTTAACTCTGTGGAAACAAAACAATTTATGACAAAAATCTCTACAGAGAAAAACAACATCATAAAGATTAATTCAATTTCAGTGCTGCAGCTTCTATACAATGATCAACTCTTTTTTTCAATACTATTAATGCTTATTTTATGTTGTGAATTCAAATAAAACAATGCATTTCATACATTTCAAGTGAATCATTTACATTATCACAGTATTACATGGATATTATATATGAGAGTGATGCAGTGATAGTGATATAGTAGTGATACTGTAGAGGCTGTGTGTGTGTTTACATTCAGAACAAAATAAACTGTGTAATAATAAGGATGGTGCATAGTGTGTTTAGTATAATCATCTCATAATAAGCATGTTTACGTAGACAGAATAGACAATGATTAAAAGAAAACAGTATAACAAATCCTGTCTGCATATAAAAACAGTGATGTTTGATTTGGGCTCTAGTGTTATGAAGGAGGTGAATGGTTAGTCTAGCAAGCCAGACTTTAACCTGTTACCAGAGAGTCTCCAGTATTTCACCATTTAACATGACCAAAAACCACCAATGTTGACCAACCAGCCTCAGACTGTTGAAGTTTGGTCTGTGGGAAACTGCATTCAGCACTCGTGAGGGTATCCTGCTTGAGAGCTACTAAATGCTTCAGAGAAAGACTCTGAATGACGTTTTGATGTGATGCATAGACCTTCACTTCTTTTTGTAAATATAAGGACTGTATCTCACTCTGAACCTACATTGTTCTCACTGTCACTGGGCTGATTACAACCAGTAAACAGAAGCATGCACACAGATGTGTAGAGCCAATCAGAATGGAACTGACAAAATCCTGATAGTTGTGGGCACCTCAGTTCTGGCTGAGGAGAACCATCACCTGACAAGTAGCCTGTGTAGCTGAGAGAGACCATCAGCATTACTGTAGAGTGACTGATGTTAGACACTGAAGGGAAAGTTCTTGAGTGCAGGACCTGATGAAGGTGAGAAGGTGAGACAGTACTGGAGCTCATCAACAGTCCATCTGATAGTGAGAGCTTCTCTATCCAGACAGAAATATGTTGTTGTATATAGAGAAGCTCTCACTATCTAATGGACTGTTGATGAGCTCCAGTACTGTCTCAGCTTCTCACCTTCATCCTAGATCATGTGTCCATTCAGTGGATGGTGAAGACGAAGAAGCTTGTGGTTCCCTGCACTCAAGAACTTTCACTTCAGTGTGCAACATCAATCTGGCCTCTCTACCCCTCCCCCGTCTCTGTCTGGACAGTGATGGGTCACAAAATTTCTTTAAATATTTAATTGTTTACTTATTTATTCTTCTATTTAATAATGAATTCATCAGCTTGCTCTTCTAATGTGTGTGTTTTCTGGGGACCAAGTTAACAAGTATCAGCCTCCACAGTTACTGTCTCCACTGTAGCTCTGCTGGGAATCATACTTCATAAGATACAGCCTTCATAACTGATTCCTCCACTGAGAAGCCCAAATGTGAGCTTTTAACATCAAACCCTCATCTTCAGTCCAGGACCCCCACTGTATAATGGAATCTGAGTATTGTATTCATGTTGTAGCTGCGGTTCAGGTACCGTTATGATAGATTACACAGAAACCTCAACAGCTAAATCTAACATTGCTCAGTATTTAGTGTCACTCTTCACCTTTATTAGAGCTTCCATTCATTTCAGGAGATTTGACTGAAGATTTCTAGTTCTATGAGGTTTTGCACTTATAGTCCTGTTCTGTGTGCCTGTCTGGCATGCCCCTTTGCAGGTGAGCTGTTGTTGCTCCTAGATGTAACAACTTTACAATAACGCTGACATTTGACCGGGGCAGCAATAGCCGGACAGGAATTTGACAAACTCACTTACTGAACAGGAGTCATCCTGAGACAGAGCCGTGTTGAGTCACTGAGCTCTTCAGTACGACTCAGTTTACTGCCAGTGTCTCTCTATGAAGGTTGCATGGCTGTATGCTTGATTTTATGCATCTGGTAGCAGTGGGTGTTGCCAAATACACTGATTAGGAGTATCTCCACACGTTTGCCTATGTAGTTTAGCAGATTTGATTTAATTTACTGAATGTAAGTGTGTATTGATGAGTTGTTACATAATGAACAAACCGCGTCACAGGTTTTCAGTAACTGTCTGATGACTCGTGCACTGAGCTTATCAGACTCATCAGAGCTGCTATCATGGGTCATCTTCATACTAGAGCTTTTGCTCTGAGCTCTGAGATGAAGATGTGGTGAAGGGGGGAGTCAGTGGGGGCAGGGCCTTTAATAAAGGACTGAAAATGAGTTATAAAAGAGAAAGTGAGAGACTCAGCGGCTCAAACTGGAGATACAGACGGAGAGAGAATCATTCAGAGCTTCAGACGCCTGCAGAGAAGATGGAGATGAAGATGAGCTGTGTGTGTTTGGTGCTGGGGCTGGTCCTGCTGATGACCGTCTCCTCAGATGCTTCCTGTGAGTTTAACACATTTTCTATGTTTACAGGCAGATCCAGACACAGATTAACACATTATGATCAGGGATGGAAAAGACTCAAGTAATTTCTTACTGCACTTATGTCATATTTTGGAAGATTTTTACTCAAGTATCACTGAAAAGGATACTTGTACTCTTTCTAAATGACATTTCCAAGGAAAAAGTTTATTAGATTTTTTTAATTAAAACATCCAGTCAAACTCACATAAGTGAAGAAATTGCCTGCAGCTATGCTAATTAATGTTTTCATGGAACAAACAGTTCTGTCTATTAATATCATTTTCGTGGTACTTCTGGTAAGATGAGGCAGATTTGCTAGTCTGGGTGACGGAGATAATGATTTGTACCCAGCAATACATTTAATTTAATGTTTTAAAACAATAAAAATTGTGTACTGACTCTTCTATTAGTAACTTTTTGATTTACATTTCATTGAATGTGTTTAGACATGTATTACTTTGACACTCTTTCTTTGCACTCATAATTTCAATTAAATAGTGCCTCTGCATTACTTCAACCTTTGATTGTAACAATATAATCACAGTCACTGTACTACTAATAATAATATTTAGTACTATAACTAATCAATAACAACAAATATTCCAACTATCTCTTCACTATTTTAACCATATTATTACATTTTTTGTTATTAGTACTGATAGCACAGTAGTGCAGAAAATGCAGGCCCAAGTGCTCCACAGAAGACAGAGCTTGATAATCTTTCTTCTTCTCTTCCTCAGCTGGTGTTACCCAACCTGTTTCCTGCTGTTTCAACTTCGTCACTTTTAAAATTCCAGGCACAGACATACTAAAAGTTGAAAGAACTGATTCCAACTGCCCAAAGCCCGGTTATGTGTGAGTATCTGCTTTTAGAAGATGTAGATCATCACTGTCACAATAAAACCTTTTTTGTCTAAAGTAAGAACTTTTCAGGAGAAGAAAAACTTTCCTAACTTTAATGTAAGTTAATGTAATTTCAGATTTTTTACAACTAATTTTGGAGCATTTCTCTAGGGCCATTCTTCATAAAATTTGGACAATATAAATGACAACTGCTGTTTTATGAAAATGAAGACACAAAGTTTAGTTCTGATAGAAATTATATGTGGTTTATTGTTTGATAATATCATATGAATACATTTGTTAATATATAAAATCTGATTATCCATTTAATATCAGTAGATGAGACTCTCTTGACTGAAAACATAATGAGGTTTACTGTGCTGTCTTTCAGGTATACAACGTCGAGGGGCAGATTCTGCAAGAAGGACCTGCAGTAAATCTAGATTTCAGAGCTGCAGCTTCAACGCAGCCCAGACGCAGCACACAGAGCAGCTAAAAGCTTTACACACCCCTTTAATCATCACAGGATTTTATCAATCAGCGCTTTGCTTTTTCAATATTATCAGTGCTTGTTTAACTCTGTGGAAATAAAACAATTTATGACAAAAATCTCTGCAGAGAAAAATAACATCATAAAGACAAATTAGATTTCAGCTCCAGCTTCTATACAATAATCAATGTATTGCTTCTTTTCTATATTATTAATGCTTATTTTATGCTGTGGATTCAAATAAAACTGCATTGCACACATTTCAAGTGAATCACTTATATTGTCATAGTGTTACATGGATATTATATAAGAGAGTGATGCCGTGATAGTGATGTAGTAGTGATATTGTAGAAGCTGTGTGTTCATTCACATTCAGAACTAAAAAAACAGTGTGTATTGATGAGATAAGCATGACGCCTCATATACTTAGTACAACCATCTCATGCAAAACAGTAACAATGAACATTTAGGTAGGCAGAACAGAAAATAATACAAAGTAAAAGAAGTGAGTGATTTTGGGTTTTCAGCTCTAGTTCTATGAAGGAGGTGATCACTTAGTCTTACAGGCCAGACTTTAACCTGTCGTCAGAGAGTCTGGGAGTATTACATCATATAACAGGACCAAGAACCACCAGTGTTGACAAACCAACCTCAGACTGTTGTTAAAGTTTGGTCTGTGGAAAACAACTCAGCAGTCATGTGAGGATATCTTGCTTGAGAGCTTCTAAATGCGTCAGAGAAATCTTTTGAGAATTACTTCAAAATGTGACACGAAGAACTTCACTTTTTATGAATATAAAGACTGTATCTCCCTCTGAACAGGTTCAGTGTTCAGTATTATAGGTCACATGTCCATTCAGTGGATTGTGAAGGCCAAGAAGATTCAGCTCCCTCTGCACTCAAGAACTTTCATTTTAATGTGCAACATCAATCTGGCCTGTCCGGCGTCTCTGTCTGGACACTGAAGTGTCAAAAGTTTCTTCAATTATTGATTTGTTTACTAGTTTACTGATCTTTAAAATAATCAATTCATCAGCTTGCTCTTCTAATGCATGTCTTACTGTGGACCAAGTTAACATGTACCAGTCTCCACAGTTGTTGGACTCGTGTC